AAGCTGCCTTGTCTATCTTTGCTGGTATTTTCCTGATCTTGTTTTGTCTTGAAAGAAACAGGATCACACTTCAAAAGCAGCACCTGCAGGAGCTCTAGCCCCTCTCAACTAATTTGTTGTCTTTTCACTACAAGGGGACAGTTATTATCTTTAATTTTATTTGAAAGATTTTCAGACACAGGGGCAGAGGGGGAAAGGATAGACCAATGGAGTTTCTAATTAAAAAAAAAAACTGTGTCAAAAGTGAAAGCTGTATACAAGGTGAATCTCTACTCTACTAACTGCCAAATTAAATAATTACATTTCAAATGCTTTAGCTATTTTTATTCCATGTCTTTATTAAAAGGTTAAAAATAAATATTCTTAATGATGACCTCATACTCTGGGACTATGCAGGCTGAGGTCTCTGTACTCAAAAGGTTGAACCTATAGTCACAGAAAGAAAAGAGACTAGAAGGGACCTCATGATATCATCTATTTCAGACCCCTGGTTAAGGCAAGTTCATTCATGGCAGGATCATTTCTGCCACCCAAATCACCCTACTCAAGGGTCCATCTAAACTGCTCTTGAAAACTTCCAGGGATGGTGATTATTGCAAATTCTCTAGGTAATCTATTCAGTGCTTGACCACTGCTGGAGTCCAAAAGTTCTTCATAATTTCCAGTCTAAATTTATTCTGCTGCTGACTGAGGCCATTTGTCCTAGTTCTGATCCCCATGGAGACATAGTCTGCTTCCATCCCCTTTAGAATCACCCTTCAGGTGTGGGAAGATTTATCAAATCCTGCTTCAGTCTTCTCCTGCCCAAACTAAATAATTCAACTCCCTTTAGTCTTTCCCTGTAAATCATGTTTCCTAGGCCTTTATCTTAACTTCATTCCATATTCACCTCCCAATATCTACTTCTTTTATTTTACCACTAATCCCTCCTAACTTTCACCCCTTCTCTTCTTCCAAAATATAAAAGTGGAACTCTCATGACACTCTCTGCTGGACTCTTTCCCATGTGTCTATACTGGGGGCATCACACTTACTTGGGACCTACAGTAGGATCCAGACTGTGAGGCTCCTCATGAGCTGGAGCCAGCCTGGGGTACAGAGATGACTACCATAGTGGCAGCCAGTCCAAACACAATATGTCAAGAGGTGGCAACAGTGGGTCTACAGGCAGAGCAAGGCCTAGTCATGAGACTCCAAGCAGCCATAGATGTCCAGGAGTGGTAGGGTAGCTACAGGTAGGGTTTTGGCAGCAGTGAGCATAGAGAAGCACAAGGGTTCAGGGGCAGCAGTAGGTCAGGGAAAGGAGTCCAGCAATGGCTGAGAGGTTCAGGGATGTAATGAGGGTTCAGAAACAACTGTAATTGTGAGCCAAGCTTGGTTCCAATGGCCATAGCCAGGAGGGCAGAAGGGCCCCAGCTTCAGTGGCAGGCCACACCCCACGACTTCTGGTAGCTCACCAGGATGGATAAATTCTGGGGGCTGTATCTGTGTTGCACGGCAAATGTGCCTTCTCCTTTAAAGACAGAAACTGCCTAGAGAGAGGGCCCTAGGTGCCAGGCAGAAACACCACAGGTGCAGGTTGCTGTGGCAATAGGTCAACAAAGGAATTAGCCTGCACCAGGTCAGCTGACTGGAAGAAGGCAGAGTCCTGGGTACATATAAACCCCAGGGCTGGGACTAGAGAGTTAGTTCTCCAGCAGCAGTCAAGGGGGGAGGAGCTGTCATAGAGGAAGCTATTTGGAGATGTTTGACTGCCTGTTCTGATGCTGGTAGGATTAAGAGGCTATAGGAGCTCATAAGTGCTGGTGGGGAGGAGGCCCATTAGACTGAGAGAAGCTTGCCTTCTTAAAAGGGATAAAGTGTGGACCCTATGTTATTATTGTGTTGTGGCCCAGGAGCTTGTGCTTTCTGTTGTTATTTAAACTGGTGTACTAGGCAGAAGCTATTGGTGAGGAGGTGGCCTCATTGAGGCACACTACATTGTGGAGACCCCAGCACCAGAGAAGTCATGGAGACAGGGATGAAGAGGGCCCAGTGTCAGAGAGGGTGTGAAGACAGGAGGCCGAGCTAGATGGAGGTCTCATAAAAAGGGATAACATTTAATTGCCACCTGTGAGGCATGTGGCATGATAAGGGGAAGGTTTCGGAGCTGCACATCTAGCCCACAAGGCTTGTTGTTATTCCCCTGAGTGTGGGACCAAGTAAGGGGTCCAACAACCCACAGGGTTTAGAGAAGTCTGTCAGGACTGTGACTGAGCAGCAGCTTGAGGGTAGCCTCCCAATTCATAATTTATACCAGCAAGACATGGCAGGAGAGATTAGTAGGGACCCATAAGGGGGAGCCGGCATGGTCACGGTGCCCTAGGGACGTCACAGCCATCCCTGGGGAGGCCATATTGTGACAATCTGACCAGCGGACTGTATGTTTGAAACCTCTGGTCTACATTTTACTTCAATTCTGGGGCTCAAAACTAGACACAACACAACAGATGAGGCCAGTGCTGAGCAGAGTGAAAGAATTGCTTCTCTTCATTTGTAAGTGACACTCCTGTTATTACAGCCCAGTATGCTGTTAGCTTTATTTTTCATCTCAAGAGCACACTTTTGGCTCATCTGTTTAATGCTAACCAGTGACGGTAATTTTAAAACCTTAGACTCCTCCGGCCCCATTTATTGCATTAAAATTTACACAGCAAACCTGCCCCTTACAGCTTCTTTATCTTAACTTCATTCCATATTCATCTCCCCATATCTACTTCTTTTCTTCTACCACTAATCCCTCCTAACTAACCCTCACCCCTTCTCTTCCTCCAAAATATAAAAGTGGAACTCTCATGACACTTCTCACCTTCACAGCAATCACTTCACTTTTCCCTACCATTTATCTGCATTGTCTCATTAAATCACAAACTCTTTAGGGATGAGCCTATCCACTTCTATGTTTGTACAGCACCTACAATCAGGGGTCATGGATCCTGGTCAGTGCCTAGGCACTCCCACAGTAAACTTGATTAACAATCTTAATGTTAAAATGGCCACATTTCTCAAGTTAAAACAAGCTCAGAACTAAAAGTAAATACATCTGAGTAAGAAACAAGCAACCATGTGAATTTAATTAGAGCAAAACTCATTTTGTCTTGCAGAGGTGAGAAAGTGTAAGCAGTTCTATTGAAAATGAAGATCATTTATATTTCTGTAGCCAGTCTTAGAACTGGAAGTGAACAAAACCAAAAAATTAAACCTAACTATAGTAGCCTCTTCATGAAGCCCTGGTGCATTACTAGCATGACAACTGTGGATCTTGCTGTTGTGTCAGGGGTTCTCTCTTCCTCCAAATGAGAAATGGTGGGGGGGACTATATTCTGAAAATCTTGAACATATTTTTTATATAAGCTGTGTTGTTTTACTCCTTGTCATGTCTGGTCAGGAAAGTTAAAATTTCATATATCTGGAAAAAAGGAGCGTCTGTTTAATCAGAACTCAGTGTTATTTAGAGGATTTTACCCCACTATGGCAGGAAATTTACAATGACTATGGAGAAATGTTGAGGATTGAGGATTTAGTGTCTTGTTTAAAAACCTTTATATTTAAAACTGAAGTTCACTTTTGGCATGTATAGCATTTTCAATATCTTTGAAAGCAATATTTGAAGAAAATTGTAGTAAATATAAAAAAGTTATAAGTTTTGAAATGTAATGGACTGTGGAAAATAATTACCATTTTTTTCCAGAGTTTTTAACATTTAAATTGGGAAATTCAAAGTTGTTATTCCCATAGTCATGTTCACTCAGCCATGTTGTTCATATACTGTTATTAGGTTCATTTATACTAACATTTTGCAAAGCAAAAATAAGTTAATTAAATGTTGTTTTACCATTTATTATTGGCACATATGTATGTGAATACATAGTGCATATGATAGTGTACAGTTATATTGCTGGCATACGTTTTTGATGGTTGCAATACAGTGAAGAGAGAAGCAACAAGCAATTGATTCTATGTTAGTAGGGACCAACATTTTTGGTACGCATGCCACAAAGCAAACCCCACACCCTCCCCAATCCTTTTTTCTGCCCAATCCATTTATATGTTTCCTGCTCTCTTTTCTTTGTTTTGTGCCTTATCTGCTGCTCTGCTTTGTGCCCCCTGCCCTATCTGTTGAGGTGTTGACTCCCTCCCTGATCTACTATGTGCCACTTTTGGCCTGCATGCCATAGGTTGGTCACCCCTGTTCTAGGTGATCCAAAACTCACAGTAAAACAGGAAAGACATAAATAATGTTTATCCTTCACCTGCCTACACATAAGATTTAGTTACCATGAGTATAGGGATTGGAGAAGGGAAAAAAATTAACGTATTACATGTATGTAATCTAAAAAATGATTTCAATAGCTTTTCTCCATTAAAAAGTGACAAGTTTTAAGTCTGATATCTTAGGGATTTTCAGAGTAAAGGTAAATGCTAGATCAAATGGAAAACCTACATTTTCCAATGGTATTCCCATTACTAACCCCCCAAAAATGTGATATATCAGACTTTAAAATTGTGACATTAATTCTTGAGCCAATGACAAATCTTGACCATGCTAGACTTCAGATGCATAGAATTTAAGAAGGAAAAAAAGGAAATATATATCCATAATGCTTAGGCTTTTAAGAATCTATTTGAAATTATAAATTAGGTTTAGGCAGACAATTTTTCCAACTATTTGAGTTGGTCCAATAAAAGATATCAGATGGAACCAAAGAACCTTGTCTGCCTATGTCCTCAGACCAATACAGTTACAACCTACACCCCTAAATGAGGCTTAGGAAGTTAGCGTAAGACCCAGAAGTAGACTGTGTGGGTTTGTAATGTATTATAAGGATATGCAATACAAATTTATCAAGTCAAATAACTGCAGTAGCTATTATGAACAGCAACTACACACATAGGTACACCATCAAATTAGCTTCCTTTGTTTGGCAAAAATGTTGATGGCCATTAAATAAAGTTCTTACCACATTAGATGGTTCCAATTTCTTCCTCTTTGCAAGATCAGTAATATTATTACCATTGTAGTTGATGCTTTCCATACAGCCTTTGAAATTTTTTCTGCTGTTTGAACTGGGTTTCCCAGAAAAAGGCATGCCACCAAAGGTTATCTATGAAAGCAAAAACAAAATTGTGTAATTGTAACTGAAATGAGATACATTACTTTCTAGAACCTCTTTAACATATTTTCTGTTGAAAAATTTGCTCTCTCAGAAGTTCAAATGTAGCAAATGAGATGTAGGTTTTTGGGTAATGGAAGTAGCTATTACATAAAGAATATAGAAATGCAGCTAGCCAAGTTTGAATTCGTAAATGCAAATATTCCCATTCAAGACAAGTGCCTGGTATTATTGCACTTGTCTAAATGGAAAATAGACACATGACCTTTTTATATGGCTCACACTGATTCACTGGCTCAGAAAGTACTGACTAAGAAATATTTCAAATAGTGAATGAAAAAGGGAAAATTATATCACTCCAGGATATTTGTAAAAAAAAAAAAAAAAAGAGTGAAATCAGTGAAATTATTTGAATTTATTTGCTCTGAATCATTCACTGAGTTCTAATTGTATAAATTAGGGGGAAAAAAAGTGATAGACATATAGGACAGCCCAGTGGATAACTATTTAGCAAAGGGATAGCTTTGGCAGCTGGAGGTTACAATGATACATTTGTAGCAGCATTAAAATTGTATCCACCTGAAGGGAGGGGAAGAGCTGCCCTACAGAAAGACGGGAGTGAGAAGAGAGAGAGAGAGTCTGTCTTAGTACAGACTCTGTATGCACTCATGGCAGTAAAGCTCTTTCGAAGGCAGCCATCTTTGAAGTAGGAAGAGTGACGTAACCCCAACAGGGGTTTTGAATTGGAGGGATGATAGCAAAAGCCTGGGACAAGTCATAGCCTGGGATTGGTTGAACGGGCTTTTTTAAAAAGGGGGAGCAGTTTTCCC